TAGGCCCCGCCCCGCCCCGCCGCGCCGCGCCCGACCCCGCGCCCGCGCCCGCGCCCGCGCCCGAGCCCTACCTCTCTCGGCGGCGGCCGGCGCGCCGGCCCGGGTCCCGGCCACCCGGCGGCTCGGCGGGGCGGCCCCAGCGGCGCTCAGCGGCCGCGCCGTCCTGCTCCGGGGCCGCGCGTCGCCCCGCCGGGCATCGCCGCGCGAAGTTGGCGCTCCCCGCGCGCGCCCCCGCCTCCCCGCCGCGCCGGGCGCCGCCTCGGAAGTGCCGGGGGTCTCGGGAGCGACGCGGAAGGGGGCGGCTCGGCGCCCCGCGCGCCCGATCGTCCGGGTGGCGGCCGGCTCTCGGGGCCTCCGGCGTCTCCGGGCGCGCCCCGCGTGGCCCCGCCGCGTCCAGCTCCGGCCGTCGGCGCCCCGGGCCTCGGTGTCGGGCTTTCTCTCGGGCTGTTGACAACCCCCACACCAGGAAGTCCTGCCTCCTCCGGCCTGCTGACTGCTCCTCTCCTCCTCCTCCTCCTCCACCTCCTCCTCCTCCTCCTCCTCCTTCCCCTCTTCCTCCGCCCTCTCTGCCTCCTGGGGCTCCCGGCCAGCTGGCCCCAGGCCAGGCCCGCCGCCGCCGCCGCCGCGTGCGCTGGGGCCGGGCGGGGGGCCCGGGGGTGCCCCGGGCGCGCTTAACCCCACACCTGCCGGGCCCCAGCCGGGCTCGGCGCGGAGGGCGGGGCCCGGGCCCGGGGAAGGGGAGGGAGGCCCGGGCGGCCGCGGACTCCCCGGCCGAGGCGCTGCGTTGCCATTGGCCTGCGGGTCCCCCCCGGAGGGCCGGGCGGAGACTTAACCGGAGCGATACCGGGAGCGCCCCGAAAGCGCCCCGAAAGCAGATGTTAGGGTGCTCGGCCCGGCCGCGCGCGCGCGCCGCTTGCCGCAGTGTCTGGGGAGGAAAGGCCTGTTTCTCCTGGGTTTTTTTTTTTTTTAAATGTGGTTTCCCGTGGCACGTCTCCGACAGGCCCCAAGTGGAACGCGGCACCGTGAGCTCCCAGGCCTCCGTCCAGCCGCTTGAAGCGGGGCTTGGAGCCACACCCGGGGTGCTCCGAGGCTCCTCCCGGCTCGGTGCTCACTCCTCACGGGACTCGGGGGAGTAAGAAGGGGGGGCGGCTGGGGTTGTGGGGATGGAGCCCCCTGTCCGTCAGCTGGTCAGCTGCGTGCAAGGCCAATGCCCTGCCCATCTCCCCGGCATCCCCGCCCCCAACCAATGCAATTTGAACAACTCTCAACTCACGGGCAAACGTGTTTCATCTGTTTCCTCCCTCCCCGCCCAGAGCTTTTGCTTCGTCTTCTAGTTTGTGTTCATTTATTTCGTGTCTGTTTGGGCCCTCAGCCCCCTCCCCTGCCCTATTGCCTGGTATCTTCGCTCTCTTGTGCTGGAGTGTTTGAATCAAGGCCCAGCCAGGTCATTCCCCTGGCTCCGTGTGGAAATCAAGAGCCAGGAGGTTCAGAAAGCTGTCGTCAGTAGTGGAGCTGGGTCACACCTCACATGCAGCCTGTCCTTGTTCCCCCCCAACTCCCCATCAGAAGCCATGAAGACACCAACGTGCAACCGGGTCACCCAGATCAGCCAATAGCAGCTCCCGACCTCCCAGCGTTCCTTGCTCATTATCCAGCAATGAGATATATCCACAACAGGCCTACTATGTGCTGGGTGTGACAAATTAAAACCTCCATCTCTTTTTTTCTTGCTCTCTCTTTTTGATTTTTGAGTCAGACCCAGTTGTGCTCAGGGCTTACCCCTGGTCTGCACTCAAGGATCCTGGGGGGCCATATGTGGTCATTGTGGATTGAGCCCAGGTTGTCTTCATGCAAGGCTGTACTATCTCTCTGACTCTTCTACTGCATTTTCTTCCTTCCTTCCTTCCTTCCTTCCTTCTTTCCTTCCTTCCTTTCTTTGTCTTTCGGTCTTTCTTTGTCTTTCTTTGTCTGTCTTTGTGTGTGTGTGTGTGTGTGTGTGTGTGTGTGTTTGGCCTGCACCCAGTGATGCTCAGGGGTTACTCCTGACTCTGCACTCAGGAATCACTCCTGGCGGTGCTCTAGGGGACCATATGGGATGCTGGGGATTGAACCTAGGTCAGCCTCATGCAAGGGAAGCACCCTAACCACTGTACTATTGCTCCAGCCCTATATTTTCATTCTTTTTGCCTTCCTTCCTTCCCTTTCTTTCTTTTTCTTTTTTTCTCTCTGTCTTTCATTTTTGTTTTAAGGTCCCTCCCTCAACTGAATTCTGCCAGAATTTTTATTTTTTGCCAATCTCGTCTGTGCTTACAACCTGGCAGTGCTGCCTTTATTATTACTTAAGATTTTTTTTTTCTTTTTGGGTCATACCTGGCAATGCTCAAGGGTAACCTGGCTGGGGGACAGTATTTAGTGCTGGGTCTGCTGCATGCAAGGCCAACGCCTTCCCTGCTGTATTCTCTCTCCGGACCCATGGGAATTCTTTCACAGGAGCCACGCTCTGTAGTGCTGGTGTGGGGGTAATTGGTGGGAGAGACCAGACATTAGGATGTGCCAGGGATCGAACACGCCTCACATACATGGGGCGTGTGCTCCACCCCTCTCATATCTCCTGATGCCTGGAGGATTCATGTTAGTCAATCCACATCAAGGGACAACCATGGGTCTTTGCACCCAGGTTCCAAAGAAACAGCTTCTAATCAGGGGCCTGAGTGACAGTACAGCAGGGAAGGCACTTACCTTGCGCGTGTCCGACGTGTCTTCAATGCCTGCTGCCACAGAAGGTCCCCTAAGCACCCCCAGGAGTGATCGCTGAGCACTGCCAGGTGTGACCCCCAAACAAAGAATAGATTCTAATTAAACGTGGGTCACATGGACTAACACCCCTCAGCTTTAGTTCATGAGGACATTTAACCAATCCTTAGGATTAGGCAACAAAAACATGTGACACACCCCTCCCCCTGTCCGCACCCCCACGTTTATCTCTTTGTTTCAACCCATCTGCACTCACTCCCTGCTAACAATGACTACCAGAGCTGACCGCCAGCCCAGCCAGTGAGGTCCAGGAAGCTGCCTCCCACACACCCCCAACTCCCTGCGGCTCAGCAATATTGAGGGCAAGGTCCTGCCCGGCTCCCCGCCCTCCTCGCTGGCGCTGACTTGATACTAACTATTCAGAACTTGTCTCTGCACCTCCCTTTCCCACGGCCTGAGAGTGGGCACCCACTTTCACTCCTTTGGGTCTATGGTCCTCAGAATGTTAATTTTTTTTTTCCTTTTAGGCCACACCTGGCGTGCTCAGGGCTCACTCCTGGCTCTGCACTCAGGAATCACTCCTGACAGGGCCCTGAGGACCATATGGGGTGCTGAGAATAAAACCCAAGTATGTGGCCAGCAAAGCAAGCGTCCTTCCCACTGTATCATCGCTCCAGCCTCTCAAATGTTTGTTTTTCTTGTTTTTTTTTTTTCTTTGGTTTTTGGGTCACACCCGGCGAAGCACAGGGGTTACTCCTGGTTCTGCATTCAGGAATTACCCCTGACGGTGCTCAGGGGACCATATAGGATGCTGGGAATCGAACCCGGGTTGACTGCGTGCAAGGCAAACGCCCTACCCGCTGTGCTATTGCTCCAGCCCCTCGAATGTTTTTTGAACGAATGAATATTCAGTCACGTGGCTGGAGCCATGGGACAGCGGGGCGGGCGTTTGCCTTGCCACGTGGCTGACCCCAGTTCCATCTCCGGCACCCATATGGTCCCCCAGCACCACCAGGAGCGATCCCTGAGCGCAAAGCCAGGAATTTACCCTGAGCATCGCTGGGTGTGGCCCCACAAACAAAACCAAACAAATATTCGATCACAAAACGGACAGGTGCATGTTCCAAGGTGTCCTCTTGCCTGCCAGGGCACATGAATGGGGCAATGACAGTTTAGAAAAAACACCATCAGTCCACTGTTTCCCGAGTCGGGGAGCGATCAGACACCTCTGCCTGCGGCCACACCGCGCACCTGCAGACGGTCAGGTAAAGCCGGGGTCCACGGGCTCTGGGGACCATCACGTGGACCCTTTCGGAGAGGTGCCCTTTGTGGTCAGACACACCTGCAGCCAAAAGCGGCCGAGTCATTTCCCGGGAAATCGCTCGCTGATGAGTTGGGGGCGAGCGCACGAGGCCCACGGGGGGTCGCGGTCGGCGGTGGGACCGGGTGTGTCCAGGAGCGGGCGTGCGTCGGCAGAATCAAAGGTTACGGGGACGGGAGACTTTGGTCCCCGGCAGTGAGACAAGGTCCGGGCGCCCGGGAGCTTGCGGGGAGAGGCGGCTGCACCCCGCGGCCCGCAGCGCGGGGCCCTCCCGGGTCCTGGGGGGCGGCGGGCCGGAGGGGCGCGGCACCCCGGAGCACGCCCCCTGCTGGGCAGCGGCGCCGCGGGCCGCGCGGCCGGGCACCCCCGGTCCCGGGCAGCGGCCCCCCCCTGCCGGCCTCGCCGCCTCACTGCACCCGGCGCCCCGCAGCCGCAGCCCGGGGCCCGGCCCGACGCGGGGTGCGCTCCCCGGACAGCCGCTGGGGGGCGCCGCGCCGCGCCCCGGACCCGAGGCCGGCGGCGCACCGGGGAGCCGGGGGCGAGGGGCGGCGAGCAGCGGGCGCCTGACCCCTCCCCGCTGCCACCCCGCCCTGCCTCCCCCTCCCCACCCCGCTCTCCCCGCGAGCCCCCGGCAGCCCCCGCCCGGCCCGGCGGCGCGGCCCCGCTCGGCGGGCGTGGGGGGTGGGTTTGGGGCCGGGGGCGGGTCTGGGGGCGGGCCCGGAGGCGGGGCTGTCTCTGCGGCAGGGCCCAGGCCGCTCCCCCCCGCCGCTCGGTCTCTCCTCCTCCCTCCTGCTCCGGGCGGAGCCCGGTATGGGGGGGCCGGCGCCCGGCAGGCCAGGTATGGGGATGGAGAAATTGGGGAGGCTTGGTGCGGGGAGGTGGGATGGGCGCGGGGCGCGGGGAGGGGGGTGGGCGAGCAGGGCCGGGGAGGATTGGCGGGGCGAGAGACCGCGGGAGCCGGGGGAGCCGGACCGGGCGCAGGGGAGGGGTGCCCGGGACCCCCGGGTCCTCGGATGCAGAAGGGGATGCAGCGGGCCGGGGCTGGAGCACGCAGGGGCGGGAGAGGACGGCAGTGAGGAGGGGCGCCCCGGGAGAGGTGAGATCCGGGGCGCAGAGGAGACTGCTGATGGGGGCGGGGGGGAGGGAGGCCAGGCAGGTATGGAGGCCGCAGCTCCGGAGGTGCGCGGGGGGCCCGCTGGAGACCCCCGGCCGGGAGCGAGGGGCGGGGACCGGCCTGCGGGATAAGGTGACGGCCCGGTGGCGAGCTGGGGAGGCCGGCGGAGGCCCGCGCTCAGGGGCCAGCTAGCAGGGATGGGGTGGAGGCCCGGCCGGGCGCTTGGAAGTGGCACCGCAGGGGATGGAGCGAGACGGATGGGTGGCATTGTCGGTGGCCAGGCACAGTCCCCACCCTCCCTCCAGCCCTCGTGACAACCCCCCCCCACCGGCCTCGGGGCCCCAGAAGGGGTGGGAGTCTGGCTCCCCCTTCCATAGTGGGGCCCAGGATGCGCCAGCAGGCCCCGCGTGACCCCTGTCTGTAGGTCTGTCCAGGTCTGTCCGGCGCCAGCAGCCCATGTGTGTGTGAGGCTGTGCTGTGGGTGTGTCGGCGGTGTTTATGTCTGTGTGTGTGTGTCTGTGTTTACCTCTGCCTGTCGGGGTGTCTGCGCCTCTGTCGGCGGCGGCCGGGTCTGTGTGTCCCAGGGCGTGTGTGCTGGTGGTGAGGCCGGGTGGCTGCGTGCAGCCCGGGATATATTTACAGGATGGCAGTCTGTGTGGATGGCAGCTCTGAGTGTGGCGCCGGCTCCCACACCTTTGTCGGGCTGTGTGGGACTCTGCCCGTGGCCCTCTGTGTGTGTGTGTCGCTTCGCTGACCGTAGGTCCGAAAGGCCGGGCTTGTGGGGGGCCTCCGGCCGTGGGGCCCCCAAGTCACGTCTTTGCTCCCCTCTCTCTGACCTGTCTCCCCCATTCATGCCCGCCCCCCCCACCCCACGTCTTTCTTTTTCCTTTTCCCCCTTCCCATCCTCCCCCAAGTGGATCGGGGACCCAGTGAGGGCCGCCCCCCAGGCCTGGTGGCGCTGAGCAGGGACCCCCAGCCCCCACCGCCTGCCCCACGACATGAACCTCCTGTACCGGAAAACCAAGCTGGAGTGGAGGCAGCATAGGGAAGACGAGGCCAAGAGGAGGTAAGGCCATAGCCCCTCCGGCCCTCTCTGCTCTCCTGCCCCGGGTCCCACAGATGCGACTTGACCGTGACCGCACTCTAGCCCCACCCCATTCCCTGCTTCTTAGGGACCTGCTGCTCAGGAAGACCCCGCAGCTTCCCCGTGTCCCCAGAAACCCAAGTCACTCCTTCCTGAGTCCCCTCCCCCCTGTGCTGGCCTCGGTGCCATGGTGGGGGGGGGTGCTCCCCTCAGCCGACCTTGGGGGAGGCAGGTCCTGGTGGCCCCCGAGGCCGGAAGGTGGGATCATGTGGGGGCCATCAGAGCCGATGGGGGGGTGGAGAGGGGAGAGCCATGCAGAGCAGCGGCGCCGGGGGTCCCCCCTGGCCTACTCTTCCTCTCCTGCCTGCCCGGGGCCTCCCCGCACCCCCTCCTTCCCCCATTGATGGCAGAGCCTCGCCTGAGCCTGACTCAGAGCTGCCTCCTGGCCCGCTCCCCCCGCGCCTGTGTGGAGTTTAATTCTTGTTGTTAATTAGATTAATCAGAGCCGTCACTGCAGTGATCTCTCCCTAATGAAGGGTTAGCAGACAGGCCCTTAATGAGCGCCCTCCCCGCTTCCCCGCCAGCCGCCCCCCACACCAGTGCTCAGGGACAGAGAAGGAGTTGGGGTGAGCCTGGGAGGGGTGTGGGGGACGGAGGAGGAAAGAGGCGCTGCTGGCCAAGTGGGTTGGGGTGAGGCCGGGCCTGGAAGGAGCAGCGGCCAGTGGGGGCAGGACCTTTGCCCCCCAGTCCCCCCGCCCCCCCCCCCGTGCCGGCCCCCTCCCTTATGCCGTGCTCACTGTCCAGGTGCCACTAGCTCTGCTCTGGGCCCTAATTTCCTGCCCCCCTCAGGGATTCCGGTTCTGCCCGAAGCTTCTGTTTCTGTTCCAGACCCGCTGTCCCCACAGCGGTCACACCTGTCCAATGGGGGTGGCAGGGGAGCCCAGGCCTAGCCCTGACCTCCCGGCCCCTGACCGCCTCTCCCCAGCTCCGGTAAGGAGGTGCCCCCGGCAGGCCCGCCCGGGCCTGGGGCCGGCGCGGGGCCCGCTGTCCGAGCCCGGGACATCGCCTCCCTGCGCCGCTCGCTCAGGATGGGCTTCATGACCATGCCCGCGTCCCAGGAGCACACACCGCACCCCTGCCGCAGCGCCATGGCCCCGCGCTCCCTGTCCTGCCACTCGGTGGGCAGCATGGACGCTGTGGGCGGTGGGCACGGGGGCGGCAGCGTGGGCCTGGCGGAGGACAGCAGCACCCGCAGGCCCCCCACCAAGCCCCGCAGACACCCCAGCACCAAGCTCAGCATGACGGGGCCGTCGGGGGCAGAGACGCCGCCCAGCAAGAAAGCAGGTGAGACGCCACCCAAGGGCTCTTCCTGGGCCAAGGGGGTCAGGCTCCGTTCCCAGAGCACAGGGGGGCTCCTTTATGATGGGCTTGAGATGGACCATTCTTGGATGTTGGTGGGGGAGTCCCGGGCGCCCACTCTTGGAAAGGGGCGGCCTTGGGGCAGGTGAAGGTCGGAGCCGCGGGTCGCGGGCTTTGTGTGCAGGGCAGGGGGCCTAGCAGCCGAAAAGAAATGTGGGGGCTTCACATTGTGAGGTGAACTTACCAGGGAGACAAAGAGTCAGACACGGGTCCAGGTTTGAGGGGCTGAGCACGGGCTTGGCATGTGGGTGACCCGGGTTGATCCCCAGCCCCACTGCGAGTGACCCCTGCCCCCGGCACCAGGCCCAGAGTAACCCCCCAAAAGAAACAAAGAAGAGGTTCTCCCGGTCGGTCGCTCCCACCCCCACCGATAGCCTCGTTTCTCCCAGGTACCCAGAAGCCGCCCCCCGAAGCCCGTGACCGCGAGTCTAGCCGGAAGGTTCCTCCGCAGAAACCCAGGCGGAGCCCCAACACGCAGCTGTCGGTCTCCCTCGACGAGCCCGGCCCCCCGGCCCCCTCCTCTCGAGGGCCGAACCTGCCCCTCCAGCGCCTCAGCAGAGGGTCTTGCCTGGGCGGGGACCCCGAGGTGGGTGCCCAGGACGAGGAACCCGTGTACATCGAGATGGTGGGGGACGTCTTCCGGGGAGGAGGGCGAAGTTCGGGGGGCCTGGCTGGACCCCCTCTGGGGGCCGGGGGACCCACCCCTCCCGCCGGCGCCGACTCGGACTCGGAGGAGAGTGAGGCCATCTATGAGGAGATGAAGTACCCCCTGGCTGAGGAGGCCGGGGAAGGCCGGGCCGCCGGTGTCCCGCCCCTGACGGTCACCCCCTCGCCACACCAGCCCCCCGCCCTGCACCCGCACGCCCACCGCCGGCCAGCTTCAGCCCTCCCAAGCCGGAGGGATGGGACGCCCACCAAGACCACGCCGTGCGAGATCCCCCCGCCGTTCCCCAACTTGCTCCAACACCGGCCCCCACTCCTGGCCTTCCCCCAAGCCAAGTCCGCTTCCCGCACCCCGGGCGACGGGGTCTCGCGGCTCCCCGTGCTCTGCCACGCCAAGGAGCCAGCGGGCACCTCCCCGGCTCCCCAAGTGCCTACCCGGGAGCGGGAGACGCCTCCCCCGCCGCCACCCGCCGCCAGCCTGCTGCTGCTGGGACCCTCGGGCCGGGCCCGGAGCCACTCGACGCCCTTGCCACCCCAGGGCTCTGGCCAGCCCCGGGGACAGCGCGAGCTCCCCAACTCCCACAGCATGATCTACCCCAAGGCAGCGGGGGCGCCGGCAGCCCCCACTGCCCCGGCCGCCTTGCTGCCCGCCGCCCCCAAGGACAAGGCCGTGTCGTACACCATGGTCTACTCCGCCGTCAAGGTGACCACCCACTCCGTGCTGCCTGCTGGCCTGCCCCTGGGCGCCGGGGAACCCAAGACAGAGGAGATGGCCATGCTCCATAGTGTGCTGTGTGCCAGTGCCAGGCCCCCCGTGCCCGGAAAGTCCAGCCCCCACGGGGGGGCCCTCCATCACCGCGCCTGCCTGGCCTCCCCCCACAGCCTCCCGGACCCCACGGCCGGCCCCCTCACTCCCCTCTGGACCTACCCAGCTGCAGCTGCTGGGCTCAAGAGACCCCCTGCCTACGAGAGCCTCAAGGCCGGGGGGGTGCTGAACAAGGGCTGTGGCCTGGGGGCCCCGTCCCCCATGGTCAACATCCAGCTGCAGGAGCCAGGGACCGATGGGGGTGCCTTTGCTAGCATCTCCTGCGCCCACGTCATCGCCAGCGCGGCCACCCCGGAGGAGGAAGAGGTGGGAGCCGCGGCATTTGGGGCCGGCTGGGCACTGCAGCGGAAGGTCCTGTACGGAGGGCGCAAGACGAAAGAGCTGGACAGTGAGTGAAGGGTGGGGACAGGGGTGCCCACGAAGCTTTTGGGGGGAGCGCCGGAGAGGTTATTTGGAAGGAACAGCCCATTGTCCTCGGAACTTTTCTGGGAGACCGGAAGATGGAGGCTGGTGCAGATGGTCTGCACCGCAGAAAACACCAGGCTAGGGGACTGTGCAGACTCAGACCCCAAGAGCCGACGCCCCCTCCCACCCTGTCCTGCCCTGGCCCCCTGCCCCTCCCTTCCCAGGGCTGCAGGGGTGCGTGTTTGTGAGCCTGCGCACACACCCGAGCTAAACACAGCTGCCTCCCAGCTGTTACCATGGCAACCCATGCAGACAGGAGGGAGCTGAAGGGAGGCCCCTACCGTTGCTTGGCAACGCGATGCTCTGCCAGCCCCACTCTCTCTGAGATGAGCTTCGCTCCTAGGCTGCCCTTCCCCCGCCAGAGCCCCTCGGTTCCCTCTGCTCAGGATGGCGAATTCACCCCCCCTTCCCCAGGAGAAGGTCCCCTGGCTGCCAATTCAGCGGATGCCCCTATCTGGAACTGGAGGGGCTCGACGCTAAGATGAAGATAGGAGACCCCCCCACCCTCCACATGCCCCCTGACCAGTGGTAAAGATGGCAAACAGCCATGAGTTCCAGTGCAGGGCTGGATACCAGGGGGCACAAAGGAAGGGAGCGGTGTGGGGTGTGTATGTGCTAGGAACGTGCAGGAGGCCCCTCCCCCACAGCCCCCCCCCACAGCGAACAGCCGCTTCTCCGGGAGCTGGTGGCCGCAGGCCTCCTCCCTGTGTTCTCAGTACAGTGCTCTGAGCTCTCCTTGCTCCCCAGCAGAGGCGGAAGACAGTGCCCGGGCCTGGAACGGCAGCACCGAGGGACCCGGCAAGGCAGAGCAGGAAGATCGGGGCGCCTTGGCATCGGGGATCCCCGTGAGGAGCCAGGGAGCTGAGGGCCTGCTGGCCAGGATCCACCACGGAACAGAGCGCGGGGGCAGCCGCACAGCACTGCCGGTTCCCTGCCGGACTTTCCCCGCCTGCCACCGCAACGGAGGTGCCCCTTCCCGCCTCCCCCCTCCCCCCTGGGCACTTTACATGGACGGGAGGGACAGCTCCAGGGTCCACGTCCTGGGCCCTCCACCCTGGCATCTCAGCCCCTCTTTCCTCGCGGGAGAATGCCAAGGCAGCTGGGAAGGGGGTTGGGGAGGGCAGGTGGAAGCTGGGTGCCCCTTCCCTCCTCACCCCTGCTCCTTCCACTGCAGACTTCACGGGAGGTTACCGCCTGGGGCGCTCCGCCTCCACCTCTGGCGTCCGGCAGGCCGCACTCCACACACCCCGACCCTGCAGCCAGCCCAGGGACCCCCCGAGCCAGGTGAGGAGGAAGAGCAGCCCCCCGGGGCTGGCTTTGCTTTGTGAAGGCCTGAGTATGGTGCCAGGGACATGACTGCAAGGGCTGGAGTGTCTTGCTGTACCCCCAGTTAGACCCCTGCCTTCCCCCACCCTGCCCCCATCAGGCCTGCATAGTTGGACCCAGTATGGGGGGACTCCCCAAGACCCAAACACCCTCAGCACTGCTTGGGAGACCCTTCAAGGAGGCTCAACGGCTAAAGTGCTGGCTGTTAAGCATGAGTTCTTTTTCATTTGTCTTTTTTGGGGGGAGGCCACTCTCGGCAGTGCTCAGTGCTCGGGGAGTTACTCCCTACCATGCTTTGGGGATTTGTGGCGCTAGACATCGGACCAGGCCTCCTCCACACACAGCCTGCCCTCTGTCCTGCCACCTGTCCCCAGCCCAAGTATGAGTTCTCAAGTTCAAATCCCAGTGGTGGCACCTCGGCCTTCCTGGGAACTTTGCTGTGTGGGACCCCCGGGAAAGAGGCGGGGTGGTGGCTGCAGGTGGCTGGTGCAGGGATGGAAGCCTGAGCCTCTGAACTTTACTCTGTGGCTACATACAGTGCACTGCAGCCCCAGAGATAAGCGTGCAGGGGTGGAGGCGGGGTCCTGGGGGCTGCTGGTGGTTCTGGGCTGCCGGCTGGCCGGGCTCCTTGGAGATCCTCCAGAGCTGCCCATAGCACAGGGAAATTTTTTTTCCTGTTTGGGTCATACCCAGCGATACTCAGGGGTTACTCCTGGCTCTACACTCAGGAATTACTCCTGGCGGTGCTCAGGGGACCCTTTGGGATGCTGGGAATTGAACCCGGGTCATCCGTGTGCAAGGCAAATACCCTACCCGCTGTGCTATCACTCCAGCCCCACGCAGGAAAATTCTTGTACATTTAGGAAAAAGAACTCCTCTGGGGATTCTAATCCAAAAAATCGCAGGCTGCTGAATAGTCAGGGTTGTTTTTTTTTTTTTGCTTTTGTTTTTGGGGTCATACTTGCGGGGCTCAGGGATCATTCCTGACAGGGCCCAGGGGAACGTATGGGGTGCTAGGGATTGAACCCAGGTCTGCTGCTTGCAAAGCAAGTGCCCTATCCACTGTACCATCACTTGACCCAAAAGCCAGTGCTTTGTTTGGCTTTGGGTTAGAGGCCACACCTGGTGGTGCTCAGGGCTTACTCTTGGCTCTGTACTCAGGGATGACTGTGACAGAGGTCATGGGGAGATGGAGATCAAACCCTGATTGTCAATGTCACCCCTTGTACCATTGCCCAGAAGTCACTCCTGGTGGTCTGGGGGGATGGCGGGGCGGGGAGACAGGACCATATGTGGTGTCAGGGATCAAAATCAAGAGGCTGAGTTCAAGGCAAATTCCCACCTGCTATACAGTCACTGTGGCCCCATTAAAAAAACAAACAAAAACAGTTTGGGGGACTGGAGCAATAGTAGGAGTTGCACATGGTTGGGTCAGGATCCATCCATAGCATCCTATAGAGTCTTCCAAGCTGGGCCAGGAGTGATTCCTGAGTGCAGAACCAGGAGTAAGCCCTGAGCATTGCAGGTGTAGCCCGAAAGTATTAAAAACCAAAAAATCCCGTTTTTAAAAGGCCCGGGGAAGGGGGTGGGTGGTGGTGGCACCAAGTAGGGGAGCCCGCTGGTGTGATCCCACCCCAGCCAACTAAAAGCCACCCCACTTTGTCCAGAGAGGCCCCGCCAGGCATTGGGCACACGGTTCCTCCACGGATCCCTCCACGGCCCCAGCCCGGGGTGGGGGTGGGGGTGGGGTGGGGGAGGGGAGGGCACACATCTGGCCAGCGAACTCGGGACGTCGGGCAGGCGGGTCACCCCGACGCTCCGTCTGTTCCCTGCAGACCCACCCCGCACTGCCGCTGCCGCTACCCCTGGCGCCCCCGCCGGCCCGCGAGCGCGACGGGAAGCTGCTGGAGGTGATCGAGCGCAAGCGCTGCGTGTGCAAGGAGATCAAGGCGCGCCAGCGGCCCGAGCGCGGCCTGTGCAAGCAGGAGAGCATGCCCATCCTCCCCAGCTGGCGGCGCGGGCCCGAGCCCCGCAAGTCGGGCACCCCGCCCTGCCGCCGGCAGCACACGGTCCTCTGGGACACTGCCATCTGACGCGCTGGCCCTGCTGGAGGGACCTTCGAAGGACCGGGGTGGGAGGACCGCAGCCCTGCGCCCCGGGGTGCCAGGTGCAGCCCCGGACGTGAGGGGACAGGTGGGGGGGGAGGGGAGGACGGGCGCCCGGGCCCCGCCCTCGGCTCTCGGCCCCGCCCACTGAGCCTGGTCGACCCCGCCTCCCGGGAGGGCAAAGGCCAAGCCATTGGTCAGCATGGGGAAGGGGGCGGGGCGAGGGCGGAAAGGGGGCGGGCGGACGCAGGAAGGGGGCGTGAGCGGTTGGCGGCTCTTTGAGAGAGTCGGGGCGGGGGCACCGGGTTGTTCTGTGGTTTTGACTTTAGCGGGCAGGGCTGTTCTGAGTCCTCCTGCCTCCTCCTGAGCTGCGAGTGGGGAATCGTGGGCAATTCAAGGGAACCAAATTTGCACAGTCTCCCAGGCCCCGGGGCCCCACCGTGCCCGCCTTCCCCGATGCTAGGGAGCGGCCGGAGGACAAGCTGGCAGGATGTGGTAGGGAGCAGAGCCTGCTGGAAGCAGGCATCTAATTTAGTGTTGGGGTGAGGGGCTAGCACCAGGGACGCGGGGGGGCTGATGGGGAAGGAGGGACATTTTAGCGGGAGGTGGGTGGGCAGGGTATTTATTTAAATTAAAAATCAAAAGAGATGTCAGGAACTTTTTTTTAATTCCTTTCTTTTCAGAATAATATATTAAAAGACTAACAATCCTAAACTCAGCTGCTTTTGTTTCCCGGTGGCTCTAGCCCCCCTCACCCCGGATCATTTTCTCTGGCTCCCCCGTGGGTGGGCCCTGAGGCTCGGCAGGGAGCTCTGAGGGGCAGAAAGCACTGGATAGCAGAGGGAGGGAGGGTTCAGGGAACACCAGGCTGGGTTGGAACGCAGCAAGCACCTTAGGTACCTTCGATGTATGCTTGGCGATGCTTGTGAATGGAGAAAGCCCTGCCCTCTGAGCACTGACAGTCTGGGCCCTGAGCATAGCACAGTGGGGAGGGCGTTCGCCCTGCACACAGCCACTCCAAGTTCGATCTCCCCCCCGCCCCCCCCCCCCCCCCCGCAATCCCACACGGTCCCCCAAGCACCGCCGGGAATGATTCCCGAGTGCAGAGCCAGGAGTAACCCCTGAGCACGGCCAGGTGTGGCCCTAAAACCAAAAATAAATACAAGCTTCTAGGCTTACCCTAAAGATCTGGATTCTACCATCCAAGCTGCTGCAGAGAGAGGACGGGATACAGGGTGGACGCAGCAGAGCATTCCCCAGCTACTGAAGGATGATGGGTGCAGGGAGAGGTTCAAGGGCTGCATGCACGCGGTGCACATGAGGGCCCTGGGTGCAATCGCTAGCGCTTCATGGTCCCCCACCCCATTCCCCAATGAACAATGACTGGGGCACCACCAGGCATGGCCCAAAAACCCAAGGATTTGGAATAGTGGGCAATAATAGGATAGTGGGGCTGGAGAGACAAGATAGGGACAGGCACTTACCTTGCAAGTAGTTGATCCAGGTCTGATCCTTGGCACCCTATGATGGTCCTCCAAGAGCTGCCGGGAGTGAGCCCTGAGCACAGAGCCAAGAATAAGCTTTGGGAACTGCTGGTGTGGCCCAAAAATTTTTTAAAAAGGATGGGCTGGAGTGATAGCACAGTGGTTAGAGCGTTTGCCTTGCACGGGTTCGATTCCCAGCACCCCATATGGTCCCCTGAGCATCACCAGGGGTGACTCCTGAGTGCAGTGCCAGGAGTAACCCCTGTGTATCGCCTGGTGTTACCCAAAAAGCAAAAAATAAAAAATTTTAAAAAAAAAGGGAGTGGGTGGGAGGGTGTGGCTAGAATGATGACAGGGACTAAGGGGCATGCCTTGTATGGGGCCAGTCCCAGTTAGACCCCCAATACCACAAGGTCCTCTGGAGGCCCCCATTGCCAAATGTTCCAAGGCACCCCAGAGCGTTCCAGGCAATGCCCAGCTCTGCAGGGCCACTTGGACTCTACATTTACCATAGGCCTGGGTGGCTGAGAGTCACCAGAGGGGCCCCTGGGCCTCCTGAGTGCTTCTCCCACAGAAAACAAATAAAAGGAGCACCAGGGGGCAGGTCAGTGGCCAAGTAAGTTTGAGGTCCTTGGTTTGTTCCCTGGTACTGGGGGCAAAAAAGGCCAACCTTTTTTTTTCCTCATATTCATTGTTTTTTTAATTTTTATTAGTGAAACACCATGAGGTACAGTTATAGACTTACAAATTTTTGTGCTTGGGTGTCAGTTATACAATGATCGAGTACCCATCCCTCCACCAGTGCCCATTCTCCACCACCGATCCCAGTATCACTCCCACCCCTCATCCCCCCCATCCCACCCTGCCTCTGTGGCAGAGCATTCCCTTTTGTTCTCTCTCTCTCCTTTTGGGTGCTGTGGTTTGCAAAAGAAGAACTGAGTGGCAATTATGTCAATCTATAGTCTACTTTCAGCATGCATCTCCCATCCTGGGCAGATCTTCCCAACACCCTTTACTTGATGCTCCTTTCTCTATCTGAGCTTCCTTTACCCCTAGAGTGTGCGTCTAAGGCCAACCTTTCTTCCAGCGCTCCCAGGGAGAGCTCAGTGGTTTCTAATGTCATCCTTGTGGAACTGAGGTTTTGAGGCTTCAGACCCATTCCTTAATACCGCCACATGTACCGAATCCTCCCGCGGCACCTCTGTGGCCTGTGCTGAAAGCAGTTTCTGGTGTGACCCCTGCTGAACACCGTGACAGACGCGTGCGAGGTGTAGAGGAACGGGTCAGGGGCTGAGAGCACCTGCCTGGCAGACACGCCGTCCCAAGTTTGAATCCTGAGTGTCCCACATGCACTGAACAGCCCTGGCAACTGTGTCCTTTGAGCCCCGGCAGCCCTGTGCTCTGTGATCTCCAAATGGTCCCACAAACCATTTTCTGCTGCCTTTCATCTGGGGTATGTGTGAGCGCTCCACACTGGCGAACATCCCCCAGCCCCAGCAAACATCTCTGCTCCAAAAGCTGTGTGAGCACCGCTGCCTACAAGGACAGCCTTTGGCAGGCATTATGCAAACTGCACACAACCCCCTGTAGAACACACGACCAGAGTTTGTGTGACTCACTAAAGGCATGAACCAAGGTCACAGCTAGCCCGCTGTGACCTTGGCAGTGAAAGGGGCACACATCTCCGAAAGCATGTGGGTGACCCTCAACAAGCTCGCAGCCAGGCATGCGACCCCAACAATCATGGGAGGAGGGCAGGGAAAGGGTTTAAAGATGGGGGAGCACCAAAGACGAGGAGCATCGTAGACCGGGGGAGCACTCCAAAGAATGAGCCGGTGTTTAAGTGTGAGTGAGCCCCGCAGCTGTGTCCAAGCACCACAGCCAGGTTTGTGGCCGACCCCTGGGCATCGCCACCATGATGACCACAATGCAGGGAAAGAAAGGGATGGAGCCATAGGTCAGGGAGGAGGACGCTGACCTTGTACACAGCCAACCTGGGTTTGATCCCCAGTGCTACATATGGTTTCCCAAATTCTGCCAGGAGTGACCCTTAAGCACAGAGCCACTGAGCCCTGATGGGTGTGAGAAGAAAGGAAGGAAGGAAGGAAGGAAGGAAGGAAGGAAGGAAGGAAGGGAGGGAGGGAGGGAGGGAGGAACTGAGGGAGGGAGGGGAGAGGAGGGGAGGGGAGGGATGGAGAGAGGGAGGAAGGAAGGAAGGAAAGAAAGAAGGAAGGAAGGAAGGAAAGGAGGGAGGGAGGGAAGAAGGAAGGGAGGAACTGAGGGAGGGAGGGGAGGGATAGGGAGAGAGGAAGGAGGGAGAATGGAAGGAAAGATTCAACTTACTTTTTTTTTTGCTTCATTTTGGGGCCACACTCGATGGTGCTCAGGGGATTCTTCTGGCTCTATGCTCAAGGATTAGTTTTGGTGGTCTCAGGGGACTATATGGGGTACCAGGGATTGAACCCAGGTCAGTAGCATGTAAGACATGCTTTTACTGCTGTGCTATTTTGATTGTTTGTTTCTTGATGTTTGGGTCACACCCAGCGATGCTTAGGGATTACTCCTGGCTCTGCACTCAGGAGTTACTCCTTGCGATGCTTGGGGGACCATAAGGGATGCCGGGGATTGAACCCAGTTCGGCTGCATGCAAGGCAAACGCCCTACCCGCAGTACTATAGATCCGTCCCCTGCTGTACTATTTTGAAAGATTACATTAATGTATTATTATTTGGTTTGGAGGCCATACCTGGTGGTGTTCAGAGGTTACTTCTGCCTTTGCACTCCTAATGGTGCTTAGAGAACCGCATGCAAGGCAAGTGCCTTATCTGCTATACTATCTCTCTGGCCCCAAGATTTCACTTCTTAAACAAAATTCATAAAACATCTCAGAATAACTTTAACAAGAAACAATTAGAACTGGGTCAGGAATATGGAAAGTATATTGGGAAATAACACGCCTTGCATGTAGGACAACTAGGTTTGATCCCCAGCACCCCCTAACGCACACACACACAAACACACACACACACACACAGAGATACAACTTATACTTGATCAATAAACTAGTCTTTTAGTTGCTTAAACAAAGTCTTGAATAGAGTGATAATGGTTTAGGTAAAACGATAATAAGAGGAGTCAGAGCACAGCGAGGAGGGCATTTGCCTTGCCTGGGTTCAATCCCTGGCATCCCATATGGTCTTCTGAGCACCTTCTGATACAATCTCTAAGTGCAGAGCCAGGAATAAGTCTGAGCCCCTCTGAATATAACCCAAAATATAAGCCAAAAAGCCCCTAATGAGAAAGACCACCATGTTCCTAAAACTCAAGACAGTGCTCCAATCCCAAAAGGATCATTTGGGAATCTTGACAAAATGATTCAGAAGCTCATCTAGAATGAGAATGAGAAAAAGCAGAACATTCTGAAACTGATGCGTAACGGTGGGACCTGCCCTCCCAAACAATGAAAGTTGAAACAGAAGCTCACTGTGTTAGGATTGACGCGGCACGGGCGGTGCCCACCGGACAGAGTCCAGAAATAGCTCCCAGACGCACGTGGGGATGGAGCGTGTAGATGTGATGCTGGTGCTGCAGTTGTTGGG